TGCATCGTACTAAACTTTGAACATTTCAAATATAAAACAACCGTCCAGTTCTTAGTCTCAGCTCCAGTCATGCTTGAATTAATTTCCGCTCGGATAGAGTTAAGAGTAAGAGTAAGAGGACAGTATCATTTATAACCTAATAACGTTACAACAGTGATAAATATCTCTTTCTATTTATTAATTTATTAATACACCTATTTGTTTGTTTTACAGCTATTCTCACTCTTCCGGCTCCATGGCAGCAGCAGTCCGGGCCAGTGAGTGGTCATGTGGGCGCTGTACCTTCCTAAATGCTGGTGCTGCACCCCGCTGTTCCATTTGTGAGGCACCACGCCAGAAACCTGACCTTAACCAGATCCTGCGATTGAGCAGCACCGAGGAGCGTCGGTGGGCTTGTCCCAAGTGCACCCTCAACAATTCCCAGGGTTCTGGTGCCTGCTCCGTCTGCGGATTCGAGCAGTCTCTCGCGACTCCTATCACCCCAATAGCAGTCAAAGCAAATAACATCCCTACTGCGGCCGTCCAACCCCAGGCACCGACGCTCACTGCCGCAGCCCCACCTGAGCCGCAAGGACAGCACCACGCTAAAAAGGAAACGCTGCAACCACCGGAAAACAACGGAGCTGTGGACGTCCTTATCGTGCAGCACTCGGGCTGGGCTTGTCCTCGATGCACTCTCCACAACACACCCGTGGCTTTGTCGTGTTCGGCCTGTGGTGGACCCAGGAAACTGTCATTGCCTAAAATTCCACCTGAGGCGCTCGTGGTGCCTGAGGTGCTCACGCCAGTGTTGGGATTCCCAGTGGACACAGCGGGGGCTACCCCACTTCTCATAGACTTAACAGATGACTCTCCGCCTGCCCCTCCCTGTGATCCTCAAGATTCTTCCCATGCTTCCTCACAGTCCCTCTCTTCGCCATTCGCCTTTTCCACACTCCAGAACAACCCTGTGCCCCGCAGCAGGAGAGAGGTGCCCCCTCCCGTGCGTTCACCAAACACAGGCACCGTCGTTTCCAGCCCAACTTCAACATCAGCAGTTACTGTGCCTCCTCAGTCGGTCCCTCAGCGGCCATCCAAGCCCAAACATGCCCAACCCCAGGAGCCCTCACACCCGAGCAAACGCCTTAGCATCTTGGAGGAGGAAGACTCTCAGCATCACTCACTGAAACCTCACTCTAACATTTCTTCCTCTGTCGGTGCATCCTGGAAGTGTTCCAACTGTTTGTCGCCTAACCCCGGTAGCTCATCTAAGTGTGAATCCTGCCGATCATCACGGGCAGGTTCTGACCTTATTGACCTCGTAGGTTGTGAGACAGTACGATTTACCCCAGCCAGCACCTCCAGCCCTGATTTTAGCATCTGGGCCTGTTCAAAGTGCACCCTGCGCAACCCTACAGGCGCAGCTAAGTGCTCTGCTTGCGGTTCTTCAAAGCTCCATGGCTTTCAGGAACAGCAGACGGCCCAGTCCCGCTGCTGTACACATTGTGGCCTCTGGTTAGGCTCCGGTACGCCGTCGTGTTTGTGCTCATCTTCGTCCTCGTCAAACTCCTCAGGTCAGAAAACGAGAAAACAGAATCGTGGCTTCCCTTCCTCCAACCCTGCTGCTGCTGCTGCTGCTTCCTCCTCCAACGTATCCTCCACATCCTCGTGTTCGTCCACCTCATCAAATCTGCAGGAGAAGATCGGGCAGTGGAGCTGCCCTGCCTGTACGCTTCTGAACAACGTCAAAGCCAAGAATTGTGCGGCCTGCCACACACCCCAACAGTACCTCACCCTCCGCAAAGTTATGAAGCCCTTGAAGAGGAGAGAGAGCATGCATGTTGAGGCACGGAGACAAAATGATGAAGGCGAGGCCAAAGAGCTGTGGGAAAACATTGTCAGCTTTTGCAGAGAGGTAAGAGCGAAACAGGAGCACAAGATAAACGATTTTCACAAAAGCATAAATAATAAATGTTAATTTGAGGACTGTTTGACCCTTCATTGTACTATGGGAGCTATGTATATATATTTTTTTTCAATTGTACCATTTTTTTATATCTGAAAAATTCCAATGAGTGAACAAATGCGAAACGTTGCGTATTTTTGTGATTTTGATATTGAACGAATGGGCAATTTATCTAAAAGCAAACGTTCTAGTGCATGCTGCCAGGGCCTGAAGTGAAGTTGATTTGCCTTGTGGAAATCCCTGGTTATGTATCCTGCTGTAGTTTTTTTTTTTCCTGAAGAATAACTTTTACATATGAATAATTTAAGATGTTAAATATATAGCGTGCTGCTTTGAAAAATGATATGCTATGCTATGCTGACATGCTATTTAGAGTTAAGTAAAAATCACAGCTACTATTCATACCTGACACTGATATCAAAAAACCCTGAACATTTCCAATTGCAATTTTAATTCATTAAATAACTTCTTGCCAGAATGCCAAGGGTGCTAACAAATAATCAATAATAATAATAATTATTTTTTAAGCAATTCATAATCGTTCAAGAGACAGTCGAGATATATAAGAAAAATGATTATTTCTCCGACACCTAGTTAAGGTGCGGAACCAAAACACCTTAAATATTTTGTTCATATACAGGGAAATATACTCTGCTGCTGTAATACTTCATAGCCAACCTTCCAGCCAGGTAAGCAGATCATAGGAATGCAGACATGATTCAGATCAGTGTCAGGACTAAGCTGAATTTATAGGCAAAGGTCCCGGGGTGTAAACGATTACACCATGTCATCAGATAGCTTGCTATTAATAATTAGTGGGCTGAAGGTAAACATAGATGCCATCGACTTCAAGACAAAAGGCTTCTAACAATGTCCGAGACCTGAGGCTGTACACTAAGTGGAGTAGTTAATGTCACAGTCACAGTGCAAAGGACAAACCAGGGAGATTTATGTTCGTATCAGAAGGATAATACCGGACGACAAATGGCTCCGTAAATACTGCACCCCAGGCTCGAAATCCACAATCTTTTTTTTCCACTGTGGATTGGTTTAATGTTAGACTCAAAGACTAGTTGCAAAGGTACGGTGAAAAATGGAAAAAAATGAATCAAACCATAATTATAATATTATAATAATAAAGCTCACTACAGAGCTGAACGCCATATATTTATCGGGGTGCGGCACGCCACTGTCACGATAAGCGAGATAATGCAAGGAGCTGTTTTCTATTAGTTCTCCGAGTGTTGTTGAATAATATTCTCAAAAAGAAATACAGTAGCTGTTTAGCATTTGTAAACCAGAGCTACACTCCTTATTTCTCAGCATTGCCAAGGACTTGGGTACAGTCACGCAAAAGTGTTCGAATTTCTCCTTGACATTACTTCGATGGAGTCCGTCCAAAATTAGAATTTTTCCAAGAGCGAAAGGACAGACATAAAAGAGACTTCTACATATATTCATCTCTTTGCATGACAAACATTGTCGAGTTAAAAAAAAATGGAACAACACAAGTCTGAGGTGTCCTTGGCTCACAAAGGGGATTTTGTAAGCAATGCCTGTAATAAAAAGAAGATGCTGTTTTAGTAATTTGGTGCTAAAAATAAATATAGAAAGCATAAAAATAAATTCCGTGCTATTTTAAGTTTATGTAGGAAGGACTATCACGAGAAGGGATTTGGATGATACTAAAATAGTATAAAGGAAATATGACTATTGGAGATTTAAAATGACACCAGGAATCAGTATGGCTCAGATGAAATAATTTAACATCGCAAACGTTGATTGATGCAAAGGAGAAATGTCCAGTACCATTTATCATAATTCATATACTTTAGAATTGATTTGAATCAGAGTATTATTGAATTGGGTTTTGTGTGAGTTTTAATCTTTGTTAGACATTGCTTATGGGGTACCACTGGGGTCAGTATTGAGCACCAAAGTATTTATTTATTTGTATTAAAATCAATACTATAAAATGTAGAAAAGCTAGACTTCATCCTAATCCTTTTTTTCAAAACCCCCGAAGTTTACTATTAGTTAGTTAACTGTAATATTTATATGTATTTAAATGTTGGGATTTTCCATTTTTCATTTAACACTTTTTTTTAATTTAAGAATGTAAAAAAAAAAAAAAAAAAGTATTTACATAAAATGACCAAGTCTGTCCAATCCATATCAGCTGATACACTTATACCCTTATGATTGTGGTCTTTTATTCTGATTGGTGCATTGCCAGATCTTCAATCCTCTCACAACTACTCTGCACTAACACTTGTGATACAGTGAGCATCATCACTAGCCCTTACCTTCTGTACCTCTCTCTCTCTCTCTCTCTCTCCCTCTTTGCCCCGTTGTAGAACTCTGTGAACTTCGTTGATGACAGTTTCCCTCCGGGGGCAGGCTCTGTGGGCTTTCCTGACGGCGACAGTGTCCAGCAGCGAATCAAGAAGTGGCTGCGCCCGCATGAGATCAACTGCAGCAACTTTAAGGACCGGAGTGTCAACTGGTCCGTGTTTCGTACACCGCGGCCCTCTGACATCCTTCAAGGTCTTCTGGGAAACTGCTGGTATGTCTGTTCATTAGCGCTGCGACAGTATGTGGATTTGGTCTACGTGTGTGACCATGTTTTTCGAGCGCAGAGCTGAACAAGGTCTAACTTGACCTACAAGGCAATTGTGAAGGGACACAATCACTGCTCACTCAAGTCATTCACCTGCTTCAAGCAATTTTACATTAAGGACACTTAGTTAGTATGCCCTCTGAAGCATTCTGTTCATTCATTTTTATGGACAGAATTCCTAGGCGCAGCCAGGTGTCGGGTGGGGTCCAGTTTGGGAGCCACCGGATTTCATCTCTGCTTTTTGCGGATGATGTTGTCTTGTTGGCCTCTTCGAGCCAGGACCTTTAACATGCAGTCGAGTGTAAAGCCGCTGGGGATGAGAATTAGCACCTCTAAGTCCGAGGCCATGGTTCTTGACCGGAAAAAGGTGGTTTGCACCCTCCGGGTTGGGGAGGAAGTCCTGTCTCATCTGGAGGAGTTTAAGTATCTTGGGGTCTTGTTCACGAGTGACGGTAGGATGGAACGTGAGATGAACAGGCGGATCGGTGCAGTATCGGTCCGTTGTGGTGAAGAAGGAGCTGAGCCGATCAATCAACGTTCCTACCATCGTCATGACCGAAAGAACGAGATCAAGGATACAAGCGGCTGAAATGAGCTTTCTCCGCAGTGTGGCAGAGCGCTCCCTTAGAGATAGGGTGAGGAGCTCTGTCACACGAGAGGAGCTCGAAGTAGAGCCGCTGCTCCTCCACATCGAGAGGAGTCAGCTGAGGTGGCTTGGGCATTTACATCGCATGCCCCTCGGACGCCTCCCTCGGGAGGTGCTCGGGTCCTGTCCCTCTGGGAGGAGACCTAGAGGAAGACCTAGGACACGCTGGAGCGACTATGTCGCTCGGCTGGCCTGGGAACGCCTTGGGGTCCCCCCAGAAGAGCTGGAGAAAGTGTCGAGGGAGAGGGAAGTCTGGGTGTCCCTGCTCAGACTGTTGCCCCCGCAACCCGGCCCCGGATAAGCGGTTGATGATGGATGGATAGTTAGTTAGTTAGTATGCAGAATTTTAAAAACCTAAACTCCTCGGGTGACCTGGCCTGGTTACTTCTTGGTATTATCAGTCAAATGTCAAAGAGCCTAAAGTTAGCCTAGCTAGCCTAAAGAAGCCCTTCCACCTATGCACACAGTTCAGTAGATTCACTTTTGTTCCTTGTCCAGGTTCCTAAGTGCTCTGGCAGTGTTGGCCGAACGTCCTGAGCTGGTAGAGAGGGTGATGATCACCCGAACCATCTGTCCAGAGGGGGCCTACCAGGTACGTCTATGTAAAGATGGCACGTGGACAACGGTACTAGTGGACGACATGCTGCCCTGTGACGACTATGGATACCTCCTCTTCTCCCAGGTGAGAATCAAAGGACGTTGGATAAGATATTTGTTTATCTCTTTCGTTTTACATCATTCATTTGTGTGCTAAATATACTGACCATTACTGTTGCTGTTTTTTCAAAATCCTAAAATCTTTCGCAAAAAGTTTCGCTACACCGCGAAATATAGCAAAAAAAATAAACGGAGGGACATTATAAAATAATTATGCATACAGCCTAGACGAGATCGTTCAAAGCATACTATTGGCTAATGAAACGCCTACTCGGTGTACTATTGGCTAATTGAGCAGGCTCTTAGATACTAGAACTATCTGGCCTCTACCTCGCGATTTTTCCCACTTCGCGGTGGGTCTTGGAACGCAACTACTGCGATAGGAGAGGGATCACTGTAAAAGTTTTTTTTTTTTGTTTTTTTTTAAATGTCAAAAAAATGTCAAGCTCCCTCTTGGATGTGGAATGCTCAGTCCAAAAATGTCATAAGTTTCTTCCAGTTCTGCCAAATAACATTAACAAAACTGTAATTTGTCTCTTTCTGTTGTGACTAATGGTAAGAAACAAAAGTTGGCGTAAACTGCACAATGTCTTTGGTCGTTCAGCGTCAGTAAATTGGGATTTAAGGGTGTTGCATCTGTGGGGATAAAGCTACAGGTTTTAAGTTTCCTGCAGCATTTGTGTGTTATTCGCAGGTCATTCAATATTAACTCTTGTCCGTAATTTAATCTACAGTAGTGACACCTATTATGGTTGGCTTTGTTTGTGTCCTTGGAAATTTTCTAGTGATGTAGGAAATACATTCCCCAGTGCGGAATCAATCAAAGTAAAACCTTTAACCTAGATTTATGTGGTCATTTGGGCAGATAAAGTAAATCAAAAACATCATGACCTACAGTGCAGCTAGTGTTTGTAAACTGATGTGGTTGAGTTCATATTTTTCATCCTTCTTTAAAATAACAGTAAATATTTTTTTTTTCTCTCTTTCTCAACCTTTCAGGCTCAAAGGAAACAGTTATGGGTTGCACTGATTGAGAAGGCCCTTGCTAAAATCCATGGCTCCTATTTTGCCCTGCAGGCAGGGCGCGCCATAGAGGGCCTGGCCACACTGACTGGCGCTCCTTGTGATTCACTCATGCTACAGGTCAGCTCTACTAACCCCCGAGAGGAGCCAATTGATACAGACCTCATCTGGGCAAAAATGCTCAGTTCTAAAGAAGCTGGGTAAGAAATTATATTCACAATATAAAAAAATAAAATAAAAAAAAAACGTTACCTTTTCAGTACAGTATGCGTGTAAGATAGAAGATAAGAATACTGAACGGGACTCATCATTAGGGATGTCCGATAATATCGGTCGGCCGATGATCTGACATCCCTAATGATGACCGATTTAAGCATATTTTGTAATATCTGTAAGAATCGTTCACGAAAAACCCAATAACGCAATGCCTGGGTTTACACAAATGAGATGCCTCAGTGCTCTGGAGAACTTATTATTATTGAATCACTATTATTGCAGTAACTTGTTCTAAACTCCTGTATCGCTCTCAACCCAGCTTCTCCGAAAACGCCCTTTCCTCTTCTCACACTCCACTCCTCGTACACATGCGCTCTCAACACGCCTCCTCACTTCCCTCCCATAAACATCTCGTAATGTAGCGGAGCGGAAGAATGAAACAGAGGCAGCTTTATCTCACCTATAATCAGCACTGTTGTCGGCCACAGTGCAGCGCCAAACCACTCAGAGCAGAACTTGACCCAAACCAGCCCAAGAATCGTCAGAAACAGTAGAACATTATACCAGAACAAACATTTATTCCCCAACCGTCACAATGGCACAAATGAACACAGGACATTATCAATGCTAAACAAGCCTCTCTACTAGATGGCAGCATTGTAGTTTATTTTATCAATCTATATTGATAATCAGGGGGTTGTATGCAGAATGCTGGTGCCTGCAACTCTTACAGCGGTTTGTACAGATTCTGTCCCCTAGGGGGCAGAATATAATTGAGAAACACTGTTATCTTAGTGAGCAGGCAACTCTTAACTTCCACCACCACACCACTGAAATGAAGTGATTGGACAATATCGGCAAATCGGATATTGGCAAAAAGTTAATATCAGACATCCCTACTCTTTATTTGTAATCATTTAGCAAAAAATGTCACGAAAAGCTGTACCACTTTACACAAAAAATCATATATACAGGGAACCTTCGGTTAGCAGCGTCCTTGACTTACTGCATTTTTAATAGTCACGTCACCATCTCCAATCAATGTATTCAGAAAATGTATTCCATCGTTCTGGTAGGGTGGTAAAACTTGCTAAGCAGTTTGCACAGGAATTAGTTGGCGAGGGGGAGAATAGTGCGTCGTTCAGTGCTATACGCAGAAGATGCCTTTGTTTACATTTGCCAATTTGTCACCATACATCATGAATTGTGCTACATTAGCTTTTTTTATTTATTTATTTTTCTCATTTGTGTTGTTTCTTCTCATGTCCTTATGGCTCACAGAGATAGGCCAGACTTTTCTGATTTTTTTTTTATGTCCTAGATGATGATGTTAGCGCCGTATGTATAGAGCTACTGTAAAAAAAAGCACATATCGACGGTTGAAGTATCTCGGTTTTTACATTTCACAAGACTTCTAAAATTGGTTAAATCTAAACATGTCTGACAGGAAAAGCCCAACATCTATAAACACTGTCCACTTGTATGTTTTCTTCCGTCCCAGGTTTCTGATGGGTGCATCCTGTGGAGGAGGCAACATGAAGGTAGATGATAATGTCTATGAGTCCTTAGGATTGCGCCCTCGACATGCATATTCCATTTTGGATGTACGCGATGTCCAGGGTTACAGGTACTGTTTTGATTTCTATTTTTTTCCCCATGTGTTGTGATTGCATAAAGAACCAGGCTATGAGCCATTGTGACACTTCAATACAGTTACCTTTACTAACTTGACTGTACTGCAGTAAAACGTTACTACTAGTTCAGTACCAATCTTCTGAAGAGTGGATATCTGTTCTGATATTGACTAGATCGCCTATATTGTGCGGCTA